GTGTGCAAAAATAGAGCGGCACGATTCTGGATAAATTGACACTTTTTTTTAAATGGAGGCTGTAGTTCTCTCACAATTCTGAAGAAAAAATATTAGACAACTTAACAAAATCTGATGGAATTTCTGAATGGAATGATTCAATGACTCACTCAAGATTTACTTGATTCATTACTGGATGAATCAGTGTTTTTGAATGAATCTCTTGAATGAATGAATCAATGACTCACTCAAGATTTACTTGATTCATTACTGGATGAATCAGTGTTTTTGAATGAATCTCTTGAATGAATGAATCAATGACTCACTCAAGATTTACTTGATTCATTACTGGATGAATCAGTGTTTTTGAATGAATCTCTTGAATGAATGAATCAATGACTCACTCAAGATTTACTTGATTCATTACTGGATGAATCAGTGTTTTTGAATGAATCTCTTGAATGAATCAATCAATGATTCACTCAAGATTTACTTGATTAATTACTGGATGAATCAGTGTTTTTGAATGAATCTCTTGAATTAATGATTCAATGACTCACTCAAGATTTACTTGATTCATTACTGGATGATACAGTGTTTTTTAATTAATCTCTTTAATGAATGAATCAATGACTCACTCAAGATTTACTTGATTCATTACTGGATGAATCAGTGTTTTTGAATGAATCTCTTGAATTAATGATTCAATGACTCACTCAAGATTTACTTGATTCATTACTGGATGAATCAGTGTTTTTGAATGAATCTCTTGAATTAATGATTCAATGACTCACTCAAGATTTACTTGATTCATTACTGGATGAATCAGTGTTTTTGAATGAATCTCTTGAATTAATGATTCAATGACTCACTCAAGATTTACTTGATTCATTACTGGATGAATCAGTGTTTTTGAATGAATCTCTTGAATTAATGATTCAATGACTCACTCAAGATTCACCCAACCCTACGAGACACTGATGAGGATCATCTCAGATCGTACCTTTGCTCCAGGGGTTGAAGAGCACGGTCAGGGCGCTCACGCTCGCGCAGGATCCGCTCCTCGCGCTCAGAGAGTAGAGGCCGATGCAGGCGTCTGAGGGACACAGAACAGACAGCGTGACAGCAGACGGCGAGCCGCTCAACACCACAACACTCCAGCGTTTACTGATGCTCGAGCAGCGCTGCGGGTCTGTGCTGCAGCCCTTCTGTTCACACGCTCCAGGACCTGACAGAGACACACACACCTTACTGACTCTTCAGTGTTATATACATGTACAGCAGGACTGGATAGTGTGAGGTTAAACTACCAATCAACAGTCTCTTCTGCTCAACGAGGCTGCGTTTATTTGATCAAAAATACAGTCAAAATTATGAATTATTATTCTAATGTAAAACAGATGTTTTCTATGTTAATATCTGTTGTGATGCGCAGCTGTATTTTCAGCATCATTACTCCAGTCTTCAGTGTCACATGATCTTCAGAAAACTGATTTACTGCTCAAGAAACATTTCTGATTATCATCAATGTTGAAAACAGTTGTGCTGCACAATATTTTTGTGGAAACCGTGATACATTTTATTTTTCAGGATTCACTGATGAACAGAAAGTTCAAAAGAACAGCGTTTATTTGAAATAGAAATCTTTTGTAACATTATAAATGTCTTTACTGTCACTTTTGAGCAATTTAATGCATCCTTGATGAATAAACGTATTAAACGTAAAACAATTAAAAAACGTATTAAATGTAAAATTAATTAAATTTTTAGTAAGAGTTTTATTTTGATTGTTTTTAAGTTATTTACTTTTAATTTAAATTATGATTCAAAACCTTTCAATTTTTAAAGATTTCTTTTAATTTGACATTTTTAGTATTTAGATTATTTTTTAATAGGTTTTTCTTTAATTTTTTTTTTATTTTGTAGTTATTTACTTTTAATAAATTGTAATGAAATAAAATGTAATACTTTAGGATAATTCATTTTAATTTGACGTTTTTATGATTTAATTATTAGTGTTTTGTTTTTATTTTAAAGTTGTTTACTTGTAATTGACAATAGATTTTTTTTAAAGACTTAATTTGACATTTTTATTATTTAATTAATTTTAAGTATTTTTTTTATTGTTTGTATTTTTTAATTATTTACTTCTAATAATGATTGGTAAATAATGACTAATTAGTAAATAAAATAATAGTATTTTATTGGGCAGCACAACATTGATAATAATCAGAAATGTTTCTTGAGCAGCAAATCAGCATATTATACTGATTTCTGAAGATCATGTGACACTGAAGACTGGAGTAATGATGCTGAAAATACAGCTGCGCATCACAGAAATACATTACAGTTTAACAGAGATTCACATAGAAGACAGCTGTTTTACATTCTAATATGTCACATTTTTGACTATATTTTTGATCAAATAAATGTTTGTGCTGCGACTGTAATGAGTGTTTTTGTTACCAGTCTCCGCAGTGATCTCGATGTCGTTGAG